TGGATCCATTGAAAACTTTGCCCTTTGCGGTGACATTCCCACATCAGCTTTAATTGTTCGCGCGAGGCCTTAACTTAGGCTCTACGGTTAACAAACGTGTGTTTGTCTGAACTTCGAGAGCTTTTTGGAAAACTTTCAGCCGTTTATTGTTGAGATAATCAAGCGAATTGCTTAGAAGTTCGAAGTGACTTGTCATAATAATTGTTTGGAATAATTATACGTTATACACTAAATTGGGAATGTAAAAAGTTACAGGATTAATTAAATTAATCATGAGACGAGTCATCAATAAAGACTAAGTTTTTTTAGTTCTTCTATCTCTGCTAGGTATATTAGGCAACTCGTCATGATGCTTATCTATATATATAAAAGAAAGTCGTGTTAGTTACTCCACTTATAACTCAAGAACGGCTGAACGGATTTAGCTGAAAATTGTCAGGGAGGTAGTTTAGAGCCGGGAGAAGGACATAGGATACTTTTTATCCCGTTCTAAATAAAAAAAAGTCTGCTTATTTATTGCCATTAAGGCGGAACAAAGTTCGCCGGGTCAGCTAGTAAGCTATAAGTATACCATAACGGAGGTAGAAGAATTTAAAAAACCTACAAAATCTTGAATGGTCACACAAAACTTGACGTTTAACTTAGCTCTACATGGGAGAATAACACACGACATTTTGCATTCTAAGCAACTGCTCTTATGACAAAGCTGATCCCCATGGGAATTGAAACCATCACTAAAAACATCACCAAGCATTTCTATTTTATACGATCCACAGTTCCAAAAAAAAGTGTTTCTTTGACGAACTAAAAATACTCGAGTGAAGCCACTGGCGAAAACTATATCAACTATCCCTAAGGATAAAGCCTGTATCGGACAGGAATAATATTGTAAACAAACAATCTAATCGATGTTGAGGTAAGAAGGTACGGCGCATGCGTACTTATACGGTGAAACAATGGCAGATAGCATTATCTGCTTTCTGCCCAATAAAAATATTTCCCTACTTGAGGAAACTCCGGTTTTCTTTAGTCGACTTCCAACAATAATAAAAAATATCTCTCCCTTGTATCCTATTTTGATAATTTAACGATAAAAAATAGACGCAATATTCGAGGAAAGACTGAATTCGTTGAAACCTGGAAAAAATAAAGAAAATTCCCTAAAACCTTTAAAACTCTCGTTTTATTTTTTTTATTCAACTGATTTACAGAACGAAATTAGTCGACTCTACCAGTGCTATTTGTGGCTTAATAAATAAAGTTTCGTCCATAGTTAATTTTGTAAAACGATAATGACTAAATTTTAGTTTGTAAGCATCATTATTTTTCATTATAGGCTCAGTCTGCTTTTACTTTCATTACATTATATGTTCAAAACACATATTAAACGTCACCACATAATCTAAAATTCAAATTAACGCTTCCAATATCAACTACAGCCAAATAAAGCCATCGACACACGAACATCATGTCTACATTCATGACACGTCGGCAAAGTATTGTAATAATCGTAGCGTACAACAATATTACGCACAAGATCGCAGATACCGTATCACGCGCCGTATGGCGCCGACACGCGGCACACCTGGCTGAAGATAACGATAGGCCGCCTGCACACGGGCGATATGTCGCTGCGATTAGTCGCGGTGGAATAATTGAATAGACTCAAAATAGAAACACAGCAACGTCGTGAAATCTTTTACTCTACAAACTAGATTTATTAGCAAAAAAGTCTTCTCTGGGAGCTGAAAAATAATACATTGTAGGTAATAATAGTTTGATGCCAGTTTATGTAAAGGAGAAACTAGTAAGTAGAGTTTGGAAATAAATGTTTGACTTATAATTTCATTGTAATCGATGTGGTGACTAAACATGTAAGCGCTTTAGGTTTTCTGTAAGCTTATTATGTTGCTCATTAAATAAATAAATAAAATAAAAATAAATAAAAGGCGCAAAATCCATAAAGAAAAATAAAAGGCGCAAAATCCATAAAGAAATAAAGTGTCGTTTTCTTTCAGTTAAATAATAAACATTTGCTGAAAAATATAATTATCTTCAAATACTTACTTACTTTAACAACGTTGCTGGACAAAACAAACTTTTCATTGTTTATTTATTACCACACTATCCTATAAACTGGTAAATAAAAGGCAATTTTCCGAAAATTTTCCGACCAAAAGTCGCAAGTGTGCGAGCAACCTAAACTCGTCGACCGCGAACGAGCGTTATCCTGGCGACATTTGTTCATAACCTATATTGAATGTAGCGGCCGCATCAAAGGAAAACCCAGCAGTTTAGGGAATTTATAAACCTGTATGGAAATTGAAGATTTCCACTTGTATTTGATCCAGCTGGCTTGTTAGATAGATTTTATTTTGGTTAAATTTGTTATAGATATCTGTATCCTTAGCCTTCTAAAGGTACCTACTGAAAGCCATAGTTGAATGACCATTCTAAACATACCTTTAGTTAGACGATAGTAATGTAGCTAGAGAGACAATGTAATCACATTAGTGATAACGAATATTGAAGAAGTAATTATTTATCTATGCTACTTTTATCGCGTAATTAAAACATGTAGGGGTGAAATGGGGGATGAAATTTTTTTTATGTGATTTTTTATACAAATTGTGAGAAATTTAGCTCTACCAACTACTTGTATACGACCTCAAAGAATTAAAACGGTCATCTTTAAAGATTTGTAAAACAGCCACGCTCACCGCATGCCACTCCAAAAGTCTCACGCCCGTTTTCACAAACATTACTATGAGGTCTCACAGTGCGCGTGCACGCACAGGGTGACACACGAACCAATCACAGAGCTCTATTCAACGCTGTGCGTTCGATTTTAAGCAAGCATCGTTTGTGAATAAGGGCGAAAATGTACCCGCTGTTTGCCATAAGTAAGCCTATCTTACTTCTACCTATTATCATTACATACAAACATAGACAGTCTTTCTGTCCGTCCATCGTAGTTTTTGCGCCATCTGACAGCGGTTATAACAATTTAATAACTGAGCAAGTTTTTGTGGGCACATTGTTATGACTATGGAACTTGCTACTATCTGCGTAAGTTTTGCTGATGATACGCAATAGTAATGATATTATGCGATAATGTAGAGTTCGAATTGCTTCCAAAGCCACATTTATTTATTTTTAATTGATTATTAAAAGCACAATTTGCTGGTGTGTGCTAAAATCTCAAGTTCATTTTGTTTTAACTAATAACACAGAATAATAATAAGTAGGTACACTAAAAGTAAAGCTATATGGTAGTACATTTCTACTTGTGCTATATTATCATGCCCATATTATTATTATGGGCAATTAAGCAGTTCAAACTTGGAAAATGGTGTTTTAATTGATGAAAAGCAATGGTTCTAAATACCTACTGCAGTATTGTATGCCATGCCTCAAAATAAAATTATTTGTAGCTACTGATTTTGATTGCTGAGTTACGAATATTATTGCTTTGAAATCAATAGTTATTAGGTACCTATTTATTTTATCAAAATTAATGATAACTTTACATGTGACTTAGTTTGTTGCGGCGCTTCTTCTCAGCACTTGCCAAATGTTTGTCTCGAAGCGCTGGTAGGGCAAAAAAATAATGAGACATGTGTCTATAGGCTCGTAAGTACTAATTTAATTAGTCTATACAAATAAAGATAATTTTGATTTGATTTGTGATTATTCTTGTATTTACACTTTCGCTGCTTTTTGATAGCATATCTATGTTCTTTAGTTATATTTTCAGGAGAAAATATACAGCTTTTAATGCTTATAAAAGCCTCCACCTATGCCTGCGCTTATCTATTCAGATTTGAGCATTCCACGCATCGACCCCATCCGGATGGGGTTCCATAATTTTATTAAAACGCTTTAGCGCCGTTCCACGCAATCAGACACCCCATCGAGCCTTGGGGTTGAATATGAATTTGTTTTGATGGAAATGCGTAGTATTTCCACAGATTTATAAGGTTTACTTGGATTTGGCCGCTTTCAATTGTTTTGCTTGATGTGTTTTTGGAAGGAATTATTTGGTTTTCATTGTTAAAACCAATGAATTACAATGAAATTACTTCATACACTTTGGAACTTATGAACGTCAAAAAACATACAAAGAAAAAAAGCCAAAGGTTCTTTACGTGTCTTATCTTTTGGACCCTAGACCAGAGACAAAATTATATGGCAAGTGCTGAGAAGAAACGCCGGAACAAACTCAGTCACTGACAGTTGCCAGTTAAGAAAAAATCTAAATTCGGGTACAATAAATATTATTATGTAAGCCTTACCTTCGCGTTGCATTCAGTTTAACGCCCGTATTCACAAACATTGCTATGAGGTCTCACAGTGCGCGTGGAAGCACAGATTACAGGGTCACACACGAACCAATCACAGAGCTCTATTCAACGCGGTGCGTTTGATTTGTTGCTTCATTTAAAGCAAGCATCATTTGTGAATACGGGCGTAAATCTTACATCAGTTTAAACACAAAATATTATATAAATATAATAATAATAATAATAAATCTTTGGACAATTTCACACAGCGCCAGCTAGCCCCAAAGCAACTTAATGCTTGTGTTATGGGTGCTAGCTTAACGGATATACTACGTATATACTTTTTTTTTCTATAAATACATAAATATTATACATAGTCACACCCAGACCCGTCACAGAAATTAAATTATGTACTCGTACTTATATGAATGAAGCAGATAATAATACTCTGAGCGTAATCAAAAAAGAGAACATTACGCGCATTTTCAGTGACCGAGAGATACAGCTGAAAACAAAGATGGCGGCTTGGGGCTGCTCTAGGGTTTGCACAACACAAGTTATCATTTTAAAGTTCATGAATTTGTTATTTAATTACGAATTTTATTGAATGTGTGAATGAATATCATATTATTTCTTTCATAAAAGCAATATATTGAGTTTTTTTTTTGGCAAATAAATTAATCAAAACTGTATTAAATAATAAAAAATGGTACTCACTGAAATCCCATGTACCTTAAAACAAAAAAGAATTCATGAAAACAAAATTAAAACGTGTTAATAAATAAAAAAAGATGTCTAACAAAATAATACAATATGAATCTATGTTTTTAGTAAAATGTTTTGTGTTTCTTTCTATTATTTTTAAGATTGAAGTTTTATACTATGTTTTGTTTCATTACCTAAACTGTGCCATTTTAGCTTAGACCCTTGATTGAAATCATCACCTTTAGGTTTACGACAAAGACTGTTTATTTAATATGTACTTAATATCTAAATTTTTAATGTTTTATGAGTTACTTTTGTCTTTTTTTTCTATGTTCTTTTTTCGTTTTTATAGAAAAACAATTATTGCGATGAAAATCATAGGATTGTTTCCTTTTAATCATTTTGACTGTGAGACACAGCCCTGCAGCGTAAAGTGTAAAACTGCGGCGGTGTTGCGTATTTCTTCATTTAATTTCATTAGGCGCGGAGATTGCTCTCGGCCGTAATAATAATTGCTGGACCAAATTGTTTAGCGTTGTGTTTCTGTTTTAGACGTTTTTGAGTACATTGTGTTTTCCTAGAGACCTTACAATACACCGTAATTTAACTGTAGGTACATTGAATAGTATGAAAAAAAATGGGTGTAATAATCGTCATAAGATGGGGATCCCTAATAATGAGGTAAGTGCATCAGGGTTCCACTTTTATGTATAACAATGTATGAGTTTACAACTTATTAATGTTTGATTTTATGAGGTAACAACTACGAGTAGGTCATTAGTTTCTGACTAGAAGTATATGAGCCAACATAAAAGCTTTAGACATAGCTTATAATAGGACTCTATTATCTATATCTAATCTAGGTTGACGTGTGCTTAATGTAATCATACTGTTTTTGGTCAAGTCTTGTGCTCTAGTTAGAGACTTAAATTAATAAATATTTAAAAAACTCAAAAGTAAAATTCAAAGCCTTTGGTATTATTATGTACTTATCTACGTTAACGAATCGGCATTTGGGAAAATTATTATCAAAGTACATTACCTACTTTATTTAGTTTTAGTTTTGATATCATTTTCTTGATGTTGTTTTATGTCGCTGAATAAAACATTTCATTCATTCATTAAAAGTAATTATATTGGATGAAATAAATATGAATAACTTTAATTATTACTAGGTATGGATTATCCGACCTTAATCCACAATACATGAGGTGCCATTGGGCGTTGAGTCCAAACGACACCCACTGGGACCGGTCCCACCCACATCCCACACTTTTTGGCTGATTAAATAACAAATTGAAATGTAGCTTTAATTGCGTCATTTTTACTGTATAGATATGCAACAAGGTGTACATGTACATATCTACTCGTACTTATGACACTTATTTATCTCTTTTTTTCCTTTGTATTTTCAGTTTTGGTATTATTAATTAGTTTTTTTGGAAGGAGAACAGGAAATGCAATGAAATTAATATTAAATTATTCAATTTTAATATTACTCTATTAATGGCTGATTTTTCAACCGTCGGATATCTTTTAATTGAAGAATAATTTTTGGCACATAGACTGTTTTAGCATGAAAAATATGTCAAAGTAGGTACCAAGTTTATTCTTCAGTTAAAAGATATCTGACAATTGAAAAATCAGCCCTAAAACTTTTTGCAACGTTCCTCAATCAGTCATTTTAAATCATCAATCTACTCAAAAACGCGACTAGATACCTATCAGCCAGTTTGGCTGAAAATAAAAAACAGTTTCAAAATTAAACTTTTTTTAACGTAATGTCATTTTCCTCATACGTTTAATTTTTTTTCATCTGCTCACAAAACGCAGTTGCAGAACTGGCCGAAAACAAAAAATAAAAGCCGTTATTGAAAGCGGCGTTCCAAAACTGCATTCAAAAACTGAAATTTTAATTGCTGCCAACATATGCAGCATTTGGCGTGGGGGGAGGGGGGCAATCATACATGCCCACATCCCCACCCGGGCGGGGTAATTAAAAAAATGTGTCTCACTTCATTCCGGCCAGGGCTACCAACTGTCCCAATTTATGAGGACAAATTGTTTTAGAATTATTTTTTAAACTCCATTTAGAGGAATTTTCAGTAATATCTTCTTGCTCTATGACAATTAATTGTTAAACTATGTCGCATGTTACAAACCATTATTGTGTGATTTTACTGCGTTGTTCGTGGAAAAAATAACAATGTCCTTTTTAAATGTCAGTGATTTATTATAATATGCTGTAATTCGTATTTGTATTAAATTAAGGCATAAGAGGAATAAATACACAAATATAGCACTTATTTTTATAGTATTTTTGAACGTTTAATGTGTACTGGTATTATAATATCTGTGGTATAAATAAAATACTTAAATCGCAGACTTTTCTACTTATCATTTTAGTTATTTATACATATAATAGCTGTAGTGTAAATAAAAATATTTAAATCCCAGACTTTCCACTTATAATTTTTTACTTAAAATGTTTAATTTGCATAGCAATAATTTAATTTTATCTTGTGTGGCAACCCTACCCGACTGCCCAACTAATTAATGATTGGGCCAACCCTGCAAACGGTTTGGGATTTTAATAATTGTCTAGCGTTCTTTGGGGCCAGTGCTAAATACGGTTTTTACGGGCCGCAGAGACCCAGCTTCGATTCTCCAAATTAATATTTGGAGTTTTGTTTCGGTAAAGGGTGTTGGTATAACTGTTGTGTAATTAATGTTGGACTTTATAAGGGCTTGGGTTTCATTGTTTTTCATAAAATTAATATTGTTTAAGTACATAAATACTGCTGTACAGAAAAGTCTTAAGATAGTGGTGAGAATTTTCTTCTATTTTTTGAGTTGTCACATACACTCAATCAGACTAGGAATCTGAATGAAGTATCTACTCGCTAAATTAAATAATCATTTTTATTTTCAGGCAAAGATTCATTCAAGCCTATAATATCTAGGAAGCAAAACACTTAGGCTTAGTTGCACCACCTAACTTTAACCATAACTATAACAATAACCTGTGTTTTTTGTAATATAGTTTGACAGACTTTTGCTGTTTGTTATACTTACAGTAAGATGGTGCAATCCAGCCTTAGTAATATTACTCTATGTGTGTTAGAATGGAGATTTAAACCACAGACTCGGAATCATGAGCGTTCCAAGTCAATAATCCTACGGTCCAAGTAACCTAGCATTATCTCAAAAAGTATAAAAACACGAGCTTTTCTTAACTCGTTAGCTTTACATCAAACCCTACTGGTTTTTCTAAGCTATCTAAATGTAACTGTCAAAAAGTAATTTGTCTTTTTCAGTTGTTTAATAAAAGAAAGTAAATAATTAAGTTTATATCCGTTATCTAGTATAGTTACGGCAATTCACGAAAGCGTGTTTATATGTGTGGAGGCTTGCTACTATTCGTCTATCAAAAGTTTTGATAGACATTACATTATCGTTATGTGCATGTACACGTACACACATAAGTAAGCTCACTCTCCTTCGTGAGTACTTAATATTACAAGCTTAACTTGGGACTAGACGGCGCAGTGTAAAATAAAATAATATATTGAACTGCGTTCAAACATACTACTCATAGTTATACCACAACTTCATACAAAACTATAACATCAGCAACAGCATTATTATCATTCATTAAACATTATTACCTGATCAGTTATCAGCTTATCAGTTAATAAGCGGAGGGACGCGTTTATTAAAATCACCGTCCATCCGTGGCGAGATATTATTAATTAATAACATAATTTGCTTTGGGTTCCTTCTAAAAGAGGTAAAAATTAATAATGATAAATTAATCAGGTTAGAAATAATCGTTTTTCTTGCGTTCATTTTCATAAGGGGTTGAATTAATGATGACATAGAACAGTTAGATGAGAATTTAATCGGAAACTCGCTCTACATTAGAGCGCATTTCAATTATTTCGAGGAACTTCAATAAAATAAAATAATTAAATATGTGTAAATTTAGTTTTTCTGAGACTGAAAACTGCGTTTCATCCATTCGAAAAAAAAACATTACGGTTACCATGTCTAAATAGCTGTTACAACACTTGCGTTTATTTAAATGTCTGATACTCTCGTAATCTTTAATAGATGTCTCCTGTAATGTCCCAAATACAAATATTCACAAAATACTTAAATTAGATTACGAATATAATTCAATATTTTACGTAAAAGTATGTGAACCGTAACAGTTCGTATTTTAATTGATCGATCGGCACGACACAATAATTGCAAGTACCTACCTTGAAAACGTCAATTACTCGCTATCTCAAGCACCAGATTACAGGAATTACAGCTGTAATATTGTGGCGCGGTTTAATAATATTACATTCCTGGATTATGTCGATATTGACGGAGCGAAGTCGGTGATAGTGATAAGCAAATTTAATTGGATAGAAAAATTAGGAATATGTGTGTACATAATGTGTACCTACTTGTTACTTAATTATTTAAATTTTCAGTAGATTTTTGGGTCTGCGACTTTTTTTATCATAAACTAGCGGCCGCCCGCGACTTCCCGTTTTACCCCCTTAGGGGTTGAATTTTGCAAAATCCCGGCTTAGTTTTTAATAATTAGTTTCTGAGATTTCGTGATTAGTGAGTGAGTCAGTCAGTGACCTTTCGCTTAGATTCTTTCTGAATTTGTTATATTTTAACATCAGCAGGGATTGAAAGGTCGCTAGCTTCAGCAATGCACAGACAACAGTTGATAGAGCTGCACTGAACTGGTTACAATTAAGGTTGTCAAACTTAATAAGCCGCTATGGCATAAATGGACTGACACGACGTACCCTCTGAAATAACGTGCCTATAACCGTGTACACATTTCGTATTTTATATGCCTAACTTAATTTCTAAATCGCAGTTTTTGAGTTTTGTAATCGCAGCAAAATAAAAAAAACAAATGAAAATATACCTAAGTATATTTTCTATAAAATACCGCTAACGGTATTTTTATTCGAGTTGTATTACTTAATAAAAACATAATAAAAGAGCAAACCCAAACTCGTATAGGAATTGCAGATTCCGTCGGCCCGACTCTACACAACAGCGCGGCAAGATATCACAATGTAAAATATCATATACATACATTCATCGATAACAACAACCTGAGCTAACAAATTCACGTTTCTTATATTAATTGATCAAAATCAAATCAAATAATTTTATTTGCAGAACAAAATGTCATGATAATATAAGAATAAGTATCAGAGTCAGTTTCATTTATTTTCTTATTATTATTAATACAATAATATTTCATCATCACCATCATCATCATTTCAGCCATAGGACGTTCACTGCTGAACATAGGCCTCACCCAATGATTTCCACAATGGCCGGTTGGTGTAATATTTAATTTTATTGATTTGTTAATAGAAAATCGTGAACAATGGATGAAATATTTGTTTTAATTTTATTTTTTTTAATTAATAATTAGCCCCTCCTTATTTAAAAATGACCGCCACATGAGTTTCTTTCTACTAAAAATTATTTGTATGTAAAAATTCAAATAAATTATGTAATCATAAATCGTTTTTGGCTTTTTAATGTAAGCTGTAGTTGGCAATTGTTCATTGTTAAGCAATTCCAACTTTAACGTAAATTAATAAAACTATGTTTTATCTTCAATGACAATACCTTATTAGAATTTTATCTTGTTATCTATTACTTGACAATAAAATATGTTTTGCATAAAATATTGTTGACCAGTCAAAATACTCACAATTACTTATTACAAATTGAACTTAAACTCGTAGGTATTATCTTTCCGACGGCGGCGGCGGCTGGGGCGGGCGGCAAAGCGAGCTTTTTAAAGCTTGCGTATTTTATTTATTACCTAAGTATTGGTTTTCTTTCCCATTTAAGCTTTTAAGTTTTATTGATTTTATACCTTATTTAGCATAAAAAGTGTCAATAAGTTTATTTAACCAAATGTTTTCTCATTATCTCGTCATAATTACAATTTAACAAACGGGGTTATTAAATTACGTATTATAAGTTACAAATACAACAAGTGTTTTTCAATACCTGTTTCATAAATCATTAAAAAAGTCAATAATTTGTTATTATCTTGATCTTCAAGACTTCTAGCTCGTTGATGTCTTTTTCAAAGTTGCAAATTAATTTACTATTTTTAACAATAAGTTTAATTAATTAACTAAACATAAAACACCTAATCCTAAAACTTTAACACCGCTACGACTATGTCAAAGTTTGTGTACATTTGACTTTTATCATTACAACAACAAGCCTGTTATGTCTCTTATAGATTCATTGCATTATAGGCAAGCTATACCTTGGATTTATGGTTGGTATAAAGGCAAAGTACTCACTAGACTGCAACCGGTCTCTCCACGCCATCGGATTGGAGACCAGCCCTTGGAAGCCAGGCCAGTAGAGCGGCTTGTGCTGAAGGTAGTGCGCCATCCCCGCCGCCGCAGCCGCAAGAGACAACCGAGGCGTCAACAGCCCAGCACCCACGTTAGATCCCACTGCTGGGCGCGACAGTATATGGTCAATCCCGTGAGGATTCGGCGCTGGAGGAGGCGCCTCCGCCAAAGAACTCAGTGCCGCCAGCGGAGCCCCAAAACCACCCTCCAAACCCCGCGACATCGGAGGCGAACCACGCAATTCGGACATATTCGTAGTCACAAACCGAACACACGCTCCAGCAAATTAAAACATCTCGAATACCGAACGGCGAACGTTCGACCACTCGCGCGCCGCGACACCAAATGAAAAGCGAGCTCCTGGGCGCAAACAAAAAAGTGAATTGAGAACGCCCAGTCAATCTAAACCTTATATCGCTGACGCCGCCCAAAGATGAAACACGCACAGAAATACGCTCCTCTCGCTCCTTCTTGTATCAGCCAGATAGAGACAGACTGCTCGTGGTGTTAACACGAGAGCGTAGATTTAACGAATCGCTATTTGATGGCGCTTCTTGTCTCTTTATAATTAAGTCGGGTGCAGTTTTTGCGGTCCCCCCGCGCGTGCATTCCCCTCTAGCGTCCGCGCTAAAAACTATTATGCGATATAATAAGGCAGTTTATTTTGAAACGATAATAGCAATAATGGCCGGAAGGATCGTTTGTCGTCGTATAATTTATGTGACAAATATTTTATTAATTGACAGCGCCGTGAATGGCACTCGAGGTCGGAAGGAAGCGAAACACCCATTGAATTAGAGACATCTGCTGGGGTTCTGAGATCGTGTAGATTTTATGCTCCATTACCACATATTGGTGTATTAAATTAATTGATATGTACCAGTCAATTAATTTTAAAAAGTACTTACTACAATAAATTTTAATCCAAGTTTCATTAAACTTTGTATTAAGTAGATTATTTTTTACTATTACAAAACTTCGTGACCGTATTTTTTAGTTATCTCTGTCTGTCTTATGAACTTAAAAATGTAAATCAGTAAGTACTCAAGAAAAGATTCAATCATTGGTGTACTAAATGCTGAAATTCGACCATTCACAGCTATGTTTTCCTGTAAATGAATGAATTATCTGATCTCCTCGTATGTATAAAACTCTATCTCTATGTAACAATCTTAATTTTTAATTTAATATCTGCCCCTTAAATCTACTTTACATACTGACTCTTTATATTATTTAATCTGAATCAAAAACACGTTACAAGATCAAGATAAAATATAAAAAAATATTAAATACACGCCTCAAACCAGTTCCATCCCCAAAGTCATAGGAAATGAGACTCCATTCACACATCCCATCAAAACACCGAAATCAATTAAAGAAACTCGGTATCCGGTCCATTCATGACCAATCCCATACAAAAAATGACCAAACCCATACAAAAAACTGCCTCAGAACAATTTATGCTCGAAAAATATGACCACAGAGTTTATCCTAGTTTTTGACTTTTTTTGATGATGGTTTATGGAAGCTTATTGGGGTAGTCATAGATTTGTTTTTTAATTCTAGGATTATTTTCCTCACTTCAACAACAGAGTACCTAATTAACTGTGGTATCGAATGAGGGCTGATTCCTCAATATTAGTTACCTCTTTCTGCTTCTTTCTTCCTTTCAATGAACTCTTGGCCATTTTATCAGACGTCAATTATTAAATTTTTCAAGCAAAGGAAAATCAGTGGTAGTTAAAAATCAGTCCAAAGCATCTTTTCTATATCTGGATGTAATTTTTATGAGTTGATAGAGAAAGAAGTTAGTTACATTTCGTCAAGCTAAAGCTCATGCTGTATAACATAAGCATCTTCCAAGCCGTCAATTGTAGAGCATACTATACATACACTCTTTAGAAAAATATTTTAACAAAGAAAGAACAAAAAAAAACATTTTACTTGCACAGATCAACCTGTCTTCAAAGAAAGAAAAGCCTTTATTATCTGAGGTCAACCTGTCTTCAGGATGTAAAAATCTATTTCATTGATCAAAATCGGTGATTTCAAATTACCTTGAAATAAAACTAAGGCAAGTCACTGCCTCTATGATTTATGTAATGTGGGAAACACATTAATTTTTAAAATTAGCTTCATACATTTTAATGAGCGCACACTACGTAATCAATTAATAGTTAAAGTCAACAACTATAGCTAAGATTAATGCCAATAAAGCTTAAATACAGGGTTGCAACTAGACTATGTACGGATTGTAGCACATCAAGCTAAATACTGTGGCACCTTAACGTGTTGTAATACAGGGTATTTTCCAACAAAAATGTATAGTTTGATGTGCCTACACATACGTTTATCAACTGTCAATGTTTGCCGCACAAAAGTCAAAATCCATTGAGGGTATCAATTACTCCCTTCTATTGACGCAGTCGGGTAAACGATTTGTACCGGCCGGATGTGACATAATACCGCACTACAGGACGAGGTGGGGCCTCAGTGTGAGCGGGAGATATGTCAAAAAGTCGTGTCAAGCTTAAAGCTAAGAAAAGACGTAACTAGCCAAGTTGATAGCCAAGAAAATACGGGGCTGGGCAAGATTAAAATCAAGAAATGACAAGCTGGCCATGTTTAGAGTTATAATAATTATAAGCCATATGAGAAAGAGGCTCAAAAACTGAACTCCGACAAACGTTTCTTCGTCATTATTTAATACTAACTGGACTTTACTGAGACACTACCCTACTCTAACAAAGGTAAAACGCCTTTGTCCAAGTTCAGTGGGTAAGCTTTTCTTACTGTTAAAACGTAACTACTGTCTTGTAGGTTGGTAGGTACACCTAATTAGCAACTTAAACTTAGGGGTAATATTTATTTAAGGGTAAGACAAAGTTCTAAACAACGTTTTGTTATCCAAAATGGTATGAAATCCTAATTAATAACAAGTAAACTATTTTAAAGAGGATTTCATCATCGAGTTGTATCAGTGCCCATGCAGTAGTACTTAATTTATTATTTTAAAATGTTTTTTTTTATAATCTATGCTCGTGTTTAAATAGTTTCGTGCTCTATTTCATAATACAGACCTTCGCTCGCCTGCAGTGAGGCCCCACCTCACCCTCTTCCCTACAAAGGGTGCGCTGGCCATTCATCCCGACATCAATTAGGGACACCTTTGCTTTGTCCCGATTTTATCATCGGTCTATTATAAGCTTATGATAGGGACATCTTTTGTTCAATCCCCACAAACAATTTTAAACTTTATTCACAACGAATAAATCTTAATTACGTGTGTGATGGAGTTGGATAAACAAAATTTAATTTTGATTAATCCACCACCGTTTAATTTAAAGAAGGATTAAATTATTGCGACAAATTACCAATTTGTCTGTAAGTACTTTAATTTAATAAAGGGATTATGTAGGACGTTAATTAAAAGAACAAATTAATATTATCATATAAATAATTTTCATTTTCAAATGTTTGTATTTAAGTAGCAATGAAACAGGTTTAATATGAAATGGAATCAAACTCAAACAGACGGCTAGAAAGCTAAAATCAACAGCTTTAAAATTTTATCTCTACAAAAAGCACATAACGAACTTATTACATCGGAACTCCCACCACATTTAATTCGGAGAACGTATTGCGGCCTCCATACTCGCGAGCTCCAACTTTAAATGCCAATAAAAAAATAGATTCAGAGCTTCAGGAATGAAGAATCGACTCCCGTAATCTACGATATAGAGCGGGACGCCGCTAGCGGCTGATAGAGACATAAAACAAATGCGGCGCTCTGATTGGCTGTTAGAGATTAAGCCACGCCCTCCCCACCCTCTTGCGCACGTGTTTTTGTTGCACACACACGATATTCGGACTTCGCAGCGAGCGGACGTGCCACATCTATGAATGAAACTTTCATGAATTTACGTTTCCATTTTGTACACAATATTTCATGTGAACATTTTATATTGGAAGCTGATAGCAACGTTTGGGATGTTTCCGTTGTTTGTCTTGGTAGGGTGACTATGCTAGTGTGAGGATAAGGATTTATTTAATAAAGTTTGGAATTTAAGTAAATGCAATAGAGAACGTGTTATAATAATATATTTCAACTAAGGCAAACTAACATTAATGATGAACAAATAGTATGTTTTTATATCACCGACTCTATTCATGTAAGTAGGTACTGTCAACTTTATCATGGGTACCTAATTAAAGAAAAAAGGTATCACACTGTTAAGTAATGATTTATTTCAGACCCGGGTTGTCTATTTTTTAACTAATTTTAAAAATGGTCTCTCTTAACTATAGCTAATGGCTGCAACAATATACTGCTGCAATATACGGCTTAAAGTGCTTGAGATCAAATTAAAACTTATGGTCATTAATTTTGATCCTTTAATATTAACTAATGACGTATCTGACAAAATAATCACACTCACTCGCCCTACAAACCGTGTTAAATTCGTCACTTCGCAAACTGCACCATCTGAGCAGTTAGTTTTTAATCTCCAAATGCGAGCACTAAATCAAATCAATCGCCTTAATATCACTAAACAAACTAAATTAAATCATCCGTGCCCTACAATGACTCGAGGGTGCCATAATTATATTATTTGGGGTGCCATACACCCCTGTATTGACAACGCCGTGACCGTTATTATTAAATAAATTAAATGGTATTATAACGCTCCATTTACTTTCAGTTTTGAAACATTCGGCTAAATGAAATTGAGTGTTTCGTTATTCTATTCATTTAATGTAGCGATGTTAATTTAATTTTTGAGATGACACCTTTTTAATGGGTGTTTGTAAAATCTTAATCAAGGGTAACGCCAATAAGTAGTTAGTGTCAAATATTTAGAGTAAAATAACGACAAAGTGCTTAGTAAAATTATTATTACAGGTATAGTACTTAAGAGAGTAGTTCTTACAGTAGTAGAGTGGTAGGGGAGACCGAGGAGAGTTGAGACATTGACGATTTTTTAAAACTTATTAACTACTAGCGAGCTCGTAGCAGTGCGCGTTTTTAGTTCAAGTCTCGAACTAACAAATACGTGCTGTTGCGAGCTTGCTGATAGTTAATAAGTTCCAAAATAATCCTCAACGTCTCAACTCTCCTCTGTTACAACTCTCCTCGGTCTCCCCTACATTACAGTGAAATAAGTGCTAAAATAATAACTAGCTGACCCGGAGAACTTTGTACCACCTATGTTCATTTAAAATAATGTAGAATTCTAATGATAAAATATTTTTTCAAATTGGTCTAGTAGTTTCGAAGCCTATTCAATACAAAAAAAAACAAACATTGAAATCTTTACTTTTTTAATATTAGTGTAGGTA